TGTCTTCAAAAACAAAGCTGAGTAATATGAGTTGTTGGTTACTAGTGCGGAGAAAAAATAGATGAAAAATGAGCAAACAAAGAAACAAAAAGTTATTATTTTTATCTGGAGAGGGAGGACAATTTTTTGTTTTTTCTAATTCAAAGTCTATTTGCCTCATGTAATACGAGCGCTGCCTTGTCCAAAAAGGGTAACTTGAAGCGGCATTTCAAGACGATGAACAAACGGTACAAGACGTATTTCCCCTCCTAAAAATTCTTTATGGACTCAGAAAGTGCGGGAGCTGAAAAACAAGCTTGCAGGACAGCAATCAATTTTCACTCGGCCCAGCACAAGGTAAGGCTGCTACGATAGCCTCATGATCCTGGCTCAACACAAAAAGTCTTTCAGCAATGGAGAAGTTATGAAAGAAGCGTTTGAGGCTGCACTTTTTTCATGATTTTAAAAATAAAAGTGAGATCGTGGCTGCTATTAAAGACGTGCAGTTGTCCAGACAAACTGTGACACAGTGATGTGAGGGAACGGCTGTGGATGTGAGGACCAGCTAAAACAAAGGACGTCAAACAGAGTGTTTCTTCAGTTTGATGAGTTGACCAACATGGTGGATGTGGCCTAGCTGTGTGTTTTTATCAGAATGGCCTTTGCAGACATGAGTGCAAAAGAGGAGCTCCTCGCCAACTTTACTTTGAAGGGACACACAAGAGAAGATATTTTTTAATGTGTTTATGGAGATTGTTAATAAAAGCAACTTGCCCCTCTATAAACTCATTTCCATAACAACTGATGGCGCTCCAGCAATGACCGGACCCACTCTACAAGCAGAATGACTCTTTCCCAGACCTGCTGCTGCACATGAAAATCCCACTAAGGTAGAGACATATATTTATTTTTATATAGCCTACAAAACAAGTTGTGCCCTTGTTAGGTCTGTATGTTGTTTTCTTTTTATTACATTTTAGACCAGACTAGTGTGTTATACACAGACTGGCACCTCTGTGTTATTTATTTATTTTGCAGTTTGGGTGTGCCCTTGTTTTCTGTTCCTAATGTGGCTGTGTATGTGTCTTGTCTGATAGGTGGTGAACAGGTGGAACTCTTTGAATGGTCTGGAGCCGGCAGTCTGGACCAGTGAGGGACTGAGCTCTTCAACACCTGCAGATGACACCATCCTTCATGCTGCAGATTGAGGTTTGAAATAGTTGTTGGAGATTTGTGAATCTGCACCATTGTAAGTCACTTTTTGTAATAGTATAAACGAGACAGTTTTATATTGTGTACTTTGACTTTGAAAAAAGGGCGGCACTGTTGTGGTAGCCATAGTTTTTTTTGTTTTTCCTCCCCTGTATGGAGAGGAGAGGAAAGTTCTTTGAATAAATGGAGACAAGTTCCCGTGCTCCAAAGTTATTTGACTCTGTGGTTTTCACACTGGGCAGGTTTCCAGCCCTCATAGCTCACACGTTACAGTGAGTGTTAATTGAATGAGATAAAAATGGTACTTTTTGTTCAAGCATCACTTTTCTGTTTCTCTGTCAGGAGTTAAGTAAGGATTTTCTTTTTTCTTTTTTGTAGGTAAATATATGGTTAAGTAGATAGTTTTGTTTGACAATACTTTAAATTAAACAAACTAGCAACGCATTACGTTCTGTTTTATTTACTTTAAAGAAGTGAGGAGTAGGGAGAGGAAAAATTATGTTTTTTTGATACTGAGACTGGACAAGTAGCTCTCAGCAAACTGCCGACTTCAAAAGTAGCTTTTGGTTCAAAAAAGGTTGGGCTTACTTTATTTAATTCAGACAAGCTAAATCATCAGGCCAGGATTCTGCAGTCTACACTCATCTTCAGGCCAGGACAGTGCAGTCTCCACTCATCTACAGGTCAGTAGTCACTCTTTCAGGGATGAAGAGGTTCTCATCCATGTTAGAAAGGAATGTTAGTTTGAGAGAATTAAAGGAAGCCATGTTTGTGAAGAAAAAAAGCATCTGTCCTTCAACAGGGGTGGAGGTTTCTGTGTCAGGTTGCCCCATACACTACCCATAGTGAAGTCAAAGAGTCCTCAGACAGTGAAAGGGATTTTGAAGACAATGGAAATGATGACTGGATGGACAGTGATTCCAATCTGAAGGTAACCTTTAATCTGAAGAACTGATGTGAGAGTGCCAGGTTTAGCACATGCCATTGGGCATAAAGATGTATTAAACTGATACAAAAATTTCAAAAAATTACATCAACCAGTTTTGACGAAGAATTCAAGTTCAACCTAATCAAAGAATAATTCTGTGAAAGCCTTTCAATTTCAACAAACACTTGTTTCTGAATGTTCACCAAAGGTCTTATGTGTTACTTTTAACTCTTGGCTGGTAACATGATCTGTTGCATAAATAACCAACAAAAACACATCTAAGTGAGAGACCAAGTCAATATCTATCATTTAACACCAGATTTACGACATTTTATTTTGATATAGTAAATCTACATGTAAGTTTGACATCCTGGAAATTATGAACTGTGCACACAATGAGTAGGGGTGTGGTCAAAATCTGGTCCCTGTGGAGTACCTACCAACTTTAATTTTATTAACAGACTTTTTTCTGAATAAATGGATCCTAAGGTGTGTGAAAAGGCTAAGTAAGTTTAATATTTAGGATCTGTGCGTTAAACTCAGATAAGAGATAAAAATTTTCATCTTCTGTTGGGGTTGTGACATTTTGACCCTCTGATGACATCATTTTTTTGCATATTTGTTTAATGAAATGCCATGTAAATTGAAGAACTAATTAATATGAATCTGATGATATCCAGTTTTTAAAATTTGGTTGGTTTATGGCAAAGTTATTGGCAGTTAAGCTTCCTGTCCCCCTAATTTTGATGGTCACAATGGAAAAGGAGTGTGGTCACAAAGTGGTCCCTGGGGGGCAGTGAGACCCAACTTGTTTTTTGTTAACAAGCTTTTTTTGAAAGGGTGAACACTAGGATACATGAAAACACCTGAAATATTCAGTAGTGGGGTGTGCATGGTGACCCACCCTAATCTACAGACTTAAATGATGAAAATTTTCATTTTCTGTTGGGGATGTGACCTTTTGACCCCCTGATGACATGATCGAGAGCATATATGCTTAATGAAATGTTATGTAAATCAAAGAACTAATCAATACAAATCTGCTGATACCTTGTTTTTAAAATTTGGTTGGTTTATAGCAAAGTATTGGCATTTAAGTTTTCTGTGCCCCTAATTTTGATGGTCACAACAGAAAAGGAGTGTGGTCACAATGGGGTCCATGGGGTGCAATGAGACGCAACTTTTTTCTTTATTAACATGCATTTTCTGAATGAGTGGACCCTAGGGTTCATGAAAATACCATTGAAGTTCAGTAGTGGGGGAGAGAGTGTGTGCACGGTGAGCCACCCTACCCCATGGACTAAAATGTTATTAAAAATATTTTTGGTGCTTTCCTCTTTGGTCATAGATGTCGGATTTCAAAACAGCCTCACTAATCTCTTTCAGTCTGACAGGTTTTTAGACAGGAGATGTCCTCAGCCGAGCATAGATCAACACAATCCTGCTATGATGCACTGTCAATCCTTGCACTCGTTTCCAAAAATATACCCATCGATTTGGCTCTCCATGACACTGCAACCAGATCAATGAGCATCTGAGAGGTAGTGCTTTATGAGCCAAAGGTACATGATTGTCCCTGCCATCAATCTGCTCTGGACAAGGAGGGGGAAACGATTGTGATACGGCTGTCATCCATCATGCTACGCACACACGAGCCCTGTCTCCATTGTCAAGTCTCACTCTATACCATTTGGTTCTGTATCTGTGACAGGTCTGTGACCAAAGTGTAGATACACTGACAGTCCGGAGACTAGGCTTGGGTAAAATTGTATTGTGTAAAATTAATCATCAGAAAAACATTTGACGGTTATTATTTAGCCATGGCAATTAATACGATCAATGGTGCCGAGTGGACTGACCAGGTAACGCTCCTCTGTCCTCTTCTAATCCAAATGCTGGATCGCTGCCTTCTTCATCAAAATCCTCACTCTCTCAGACTTTTTCCCCTTTCACCAGACTTTGAACTTCTCTCTTCTGTCTGAGAAGGTTCTAATTACATCCATCTGTCTGCAGCTCCACCTCTATTGCAATCAGCTGCAGCTCCACTTTCAAATATCGCCTCATTGTTTTGACTCTAAACTACACCCTAATGATAAAATACAAATACTAAATATCATAAAACTCTCAATTCAGGTTGCTCACTCCTGCTCTCGCTGTGTCTCTATCACCGCTAAACTTCATTCAACTTTTGCGACTTTTTATTTTCTTCTCCTGTAGATTCTTGTCTAATAATTTCAGGTGTCAGTCAGAAAGGAGTTGAGGGGTTTTATGTCAGTTCGGTGGGATGGAGGTGAGACCAGAGGGTGGATTGAGGAGTTTTTTTTTCCATGAATCTGCCCCTCTTTTGCTGCCTCCCACTGTAACATGCTTCAAATAAGACAAACATAAAAAAGTTATGTCATTTATTTATTATAACTCTAGTTTTCTTAAGCTTTACAACACTATTTAAAAACCAGTATATAGCTTGAAGTCTTTACTTTTTAAACAAATTGAAACAGATTCTTAGAGAGTGCATATCTTCCCCATGAGTGATTTAAATCAATAATATGACTAGCACGTGCTGGGGTTCAGGGACTCCAGGGGATTAATCATCATATTAATCGTTATAGACTAAAATACCACAATTAATCGTGATTTTTTTCACGAATATCGCCCAATCCTAGTGGAGACCCAAAAAAGAAGGTTTACCAGGATTTCTGTGCTACGTATCTTGTGAACTATGAAAGGTGTATGCAAAAAAAAAAAAAATTTTCGCAACCACGTAACCGCGGGCCAACTGTTCATCTTCAGATGGAATATGAAACGGGCTTAAGGTCACGAAGAAGGGAAGTGTTCATTAAACCGCATCCAAAGAGGTTTTTGTTTTGCATACACATCCTACCTGGCATGATAACAAAGGATCCCTGCGGCTCCATGGCGACCAAGCATACACTGAGGATGCTGGGAGTGTCAGAGGCAGAGATTCCACACATTCGACACATTTCCTTCAGACGCCGACTGAGTGACTGCAGATTTCCTCGACTCAATAGAATGCTCCAGTCTAGGATATGGAGAGCAGGTGAAAAACAGGTCAACACTGGTTGTTTTTGTAAAAAGCATTTTAACCATGACCACCTTCCTTACCTTTTAACTCTCCATGCCCCATCCTGCCTAATCGGCCAATCACCACTCTCCAGGGAATTGATGTCGTCTGCACCAGTCCTAGGCACCAATCCCACAGCTTCTGGAGGCCAAGTCGACGAACCGACCCTTTTTTCCTCCGTGCCCTTTTCAACACAAAGATATAATTGCCACACTGGAATAAATAGTCGTCAAAAAATACTGTAAAAAATTTAAACGTCATTCCTCGAAGGAATGCACATCGCTCGCCCTCTTCCTCCCTAAAGTTTTAGACTAGGATCATCTTATGTTGAAAAATGAATGTGTAGCCATTTTAGTCAAACCTGTAAAACAATTTTACATGCAATTTCATGTAAAATTGTGAAAGCTTACACAATCTGTTAGCAACAGGGAGTACTTTAAGTGTTGTGACTGACTGTCGGCTACTATCACACCAAGACTTAGCCCAAAATTTGTAAAGTTAACCAATGTTCAGCAAATTTTGTTTTGGCTAAAATCAATGTGGTGACTCTCTTAATATGAATTCTAAACAGTTTAGATGCACATCTAATAATTACTGTCTGAGAATTTAACCAAAATACATCCATTTAGACAATACTTACCTGTAGTCTAAAGCCGGAAACACCTTGGACGCGTTTTGAGCAGCCGAAGGAGCCAGTTTACATGCAAAGTCTAAGGTGGACACGAGTCTAGCGGCAGCGCATTTAGCGGTAGGTGCTGTAGAGCGTTTTCCGTGCATGCGGCGCGTCCAAAACAGCTGACGCTAGAGTTCAAAAAATTGAACTTTTGCTGCTCGACGTGCCGTGTCAACCAGAGAGAATCATTTTTCCACATGACGGTTTCCTGAATGTTGCCCACTAACCTGAAACATACGGACAGGAGCTCTTTAGCTGAAATCAACCATCTGCAGTTGGTGTTCTGGCTGGAGAYATCAGCACCGATGCAGGTCAGCGGCTCGTTAAACTCAATTTAACCGTGGTGTTAAACTGGGCTCGGGACAAAAAAATAGTTAGTCAGCTCGCAGCTCTTGGAGTGGTGAAACTCAATGAACAGACCGCCTCTAAATTATCTGGTGAATTAATTATCTGGTGAGCGCAACATTCGCTTACTTTCAGTACATAAAGCAAAGCCATTTTCTTTATTTCATCTTTATTTCACCCGTAATTAGACAGACCCGAAAAAAAAAAAAAATAAGACGCTCCTCCCTCTTCAGATGCGTGTCTAGTCTGCGTAATGCGCCCAACTTCAGGTGTTGGGCGCGTTTTTGCTGCTCAAAACACGTTCGGTGTGAACCCGGCTTAAAATTTCTAACAAATTTCTAAATTTTAACCCTCATTACCCTCATCAATTTCTCTTACTTTTTTGAGTTTGACAATCCCAAACCAAAGTACTTCTTAACAGTTGTTTGCACGTCCTCAGGTCATCTGTCCTACCTRTTGGGTAGGTCTATGTTGATGATGCAGGTCTCCAGCAGTTCCCCGTACAGGTCAGTGCACGTAGCCAGAAGCCATCTCTGGTCGTGAGACAAACAGTAGCCCACAAACAGCACGTTGTATTTTTGCGACGCTTCACCAAACGTTTCGCCCAGTTCCGTCTGTCTGTCCTTTTCTGGTGCTAAGATAAATGGGGGTGTGTACAGACGAAGACAGTCTGGCCTCTGCACACAGAAGCAAACAAAAAACTTAAGACAAACCCAGAAAAAAATTACATGCWAACATTTCCACAAACCTCATAAGCTGTTCGCTAAAAGCACCAAGTTAAAGTACACTCTTTTTCATGAATGCTTAAATTTAGACTTTTTAAAAACTCAAATATGCCATTTTATCTCTACCACAGGGCTGATTTTACTCAGTTAAACCAACAAGGCAGGTCCAGGTTTGCCAGTGAGGTAAAAGAAAAAGGTATAACTTCCTGTCAAGAAGGAAGTTGACTTAATCAGCTGCTGAACTTAAGGTGCCCCTTTGTCTAAACCACGAATCTAAAGCCCATTATGAAGCATGCAGAGAGGTTGCCAAGCAAATAATGAAAAGTAAACTCCAGAGTAACAGAGGTTACAAGTTTCTTTGGTTCTGCTCCAGACAGAAAAATAACCTTCTGATGATGGTTAGCAGCAGGCTGAAAAAAGCCAGAGCAAAGATTGGGTCAGGAAGCTGTAAACTAGTAAAACACAGCTCCTGGGGGCACAGTATCAAGTGTCTTTTTAGAGCACAAAGAACTGAAATACAACTGCATATAAATATTTCCCAGTTCAGATAATGAATTATCTCAAAACAATTAAGGTGCAACAACCCAGCTGCAAGTTGCATTTACCTCAGGGCGCCTCAGTGCAATGTCAATGGCCAAGCCTGGGCCAAAGCCTGTTAAAGACTTGACATTGGTGGAAGTGGGCAGCGGTCGTCTACACTGAGTGAAGACAGAGAATGCTAGAGATTTGAGGTGCTGTGCGTAGATTTGACGGTCTTCTCCTCGTACAGGCTGAAGCAGGTACTGGCATGGAACAATCTGAGGACACGGAAAAGGACAAGTTGTTATTGAATGAATCATTGCATTTCTCTGCCCTCTTAAAAATATCCACCCAGAATTCAAAAACCAGCTGCACAACCCAAGTTCTGTGTGGAAAAACTGGATTTCACAGGATAGATTAATAATGAAAGATCCAAAATGTTTTTTTTATTAAGGAAAAGCTCAGCATTTAGCACCAGGTGAGCTAAACTATTGATTTCAGCTGATCTGAAAAACCAGAATCTGTAAAAAATACTGAATAAAATATGAACTAGTCTCTAGAGCAGAAGTGCCCAAAGTGGAGCTTGCGGGCCAAAATCAGCCCCACAAGCATTTACCATGGTTAAAATAGGTTTTAATCTCCTGTCATTCATTTATATAAGGGGTTGTAGTGCAGAAAGTCATTCATGATGCTTATTTTCACTTTGAATTATATTAAGATCAAACATAAAATACAAGTAACTACAAGAGACATTTAGATTAGATTTAAGCACACATGTAGATTTCCACACTATAAGACTATAAATACTCATATTTTATCAATTTGTGAAATGTCCCATGAGTCTTTGCTGCCCAAGCATGCGTTAAACTTTCTCCGAGTGCACAGGCTAAAAAAAACAAACAAACATGGGCCACCCCATGGATGCTAGCTTTACGACAAAAGAAGGATTTTTCTAATAAAAATATTTGCATTTCATGTATTATATTAGTACATTTAACCTATAGCCCTTGGACAGATTTTAATTTTGGCCCTCTTGGGGAAAAAATTTGGGCACCCTTGCTTGTATGACGACAATAATTTGTGCATTTTTACAAAGGTTTTGTACTGTCTTTATTTCCAAATATCTCATCTCTGACCTAAAAAAATAACAGCTTAGATTTCAGTGAACAAATTMAATTATAAAAGGTGAACAGGATGCAAGGTGAGAAGAAAACAAAACAAGTCTCCTTGCCTGTACAGAAACAGAGTTGCGCATATGTGGGGGGAGAAACTGAAGCATCTCCAAGTAACAGCGGAGCAAACCCAGTGTCCACACGCTGGAATGGGTTTGAACAGGCCCCAGGCCTCCATCGGACTCCTCATAGCTAAAGGGGTCCACAATGTAAACAACGATAGCGGGCGGATAYATCATAGCGTGGGACTCCCCATCAGTGGGAACGCCTACCTTCTCCCGCTCCAAAGTGCTGAGAAAAATGTAAGAAAAGCAAATATTTAGCATTAAAAAAAACAAACAACAAAAACTAATGTTATGCTACTTAGTTTTGTACACGACTTTGAAAAAACCTTGTGGCATCATTTATCACCTACCAACATTATTCAGTGATAATTGATGCCACGTGAATTTTTGAAAACAAGCTCTCAGTGTGCTACTCATGAAGCTGTACAGTACCTTTCAGGTGGCTCTGTAGGCCCCTGGGCCTGGCTGTTGGAGTTTTCTCCTGAGGTGCCAGCATTCTGGGAACCAGCTTGCTGCCCCAGCTGTCCRCTCTGGGAGTTCTGGCTTCCCGTGCTTACAAAGGGGGGGAAGGAGTTGGGCTTGGCAGATGGGATTGTGCTGCCAGGCTGGCCTGAAGATGCGGTGTGGTTGTTGGATGATGCCGAACCATTTCCATAACCGCTGCTCATGCTGTTGTTGTTGTTGTTGTTATTGGATACAGAGGAGCTCTGTTGGTTGGCTGTGCTGGAGGAGGAGCTAGACTGTTGTGTGGATGATGTCTGATTGGATGAGGGAGGGGTGCTGGGTTGTGTGAGGAGGGAACTGTCTAATGTCTGGGATGCGAGGTATGGAGCTATAGAAACACAGAAACACATCCTTAACACCAAAACAAAGTGAGACAAATATATTACAACCATTTACTACCCCTGTACATCGTTGCTAACAAGTTAGGGTCCAGTTTTCACTCATGTCGGCCCTCAAAGTAGCTCCAGGAGTTGAAAAGGGAATATCTGGTATTTCCTCTCAGCCAGCACAGCCACGGAGAGCCGCCTGTGACTCTGCACTGTCTCCTCTGTGCACAAAAAATATATACTGTATGCTATCTCCTTTCAATGAGTTCTTTGACTTTTTAAGAATTATTTGACCATCTACAAGTTTTAATGAATCAGCTGTAAAGACAACTGTATATTCTAATAGCCTAGATCATCTGCTCCTCATTGGAGCAGCTGAAGTGACATGAGAAAAATGCAGCTCAACCTCTTCAGAAACTTGCCCACTACGTTCTGACCAATCACACAATACTTGGGAGTATACCCGTGAGAATGAGACAGGAGCTTGTGTACAAAACGGGCACTTGGAGGCCATGTCATAACAAACAAAAGATGTTTTTTGAATTTCCACAAACTTTCAAAAAACTTTAAAATATAGTTTAAGACAAGGAATTTTAAAAATTATGTCAAATTGGAAACCTCCATGGGATTTACAGGAATTTATAAAAACTAACATAAAATTGGTGAAAAATTAAACAAACATTCATATTTAAACGAAAACATTTTTTTCCAAAAGTAGACATTGGGCCTCATGCAAGAACCGTTCGTACGCACAGATTTGTTCTTAAGTTGTGCGTACGAGTGATTTAAGAGAATTTGTGGCATTCACCAATGTTTTCGTATTCTAAGATTTTTTCAGATACAAACAAAATTCACGAGTGATCCAGACCTGTCGTATATTTTATGAGCAGTCAGTCTGCTGTTATCCAGACACATTTTCCTCCCTAATAACTTCATATTTCGTTAGTTTGAAGATATTTTGAGTTGAAAATAAATCACACTCCAAAATTATGTTGACAATAGGCTATTCTGCTTGAATTAAAGTTATAATTTAATATGTAATAATTTAGACTAACAATATAAATTGTCCGTCCATCCGTTTTCTGCCGCTTATCCGGGATTGGGTCGTGGGGGCAGCAGGAGACCCCGCTCTCCCCAGCGACACCCTCCAGCTCGTCCTGGGGGACACCGAGACGTTCCCAGGCCAGAGGGGATACATAATCCCTCCAGTGAGTCCTGGATTTTCTCCCAAGTGCCAGACTTATTTTGAAAACATTTTAAAATGCTTATTTCTGAACCGCAACTGAGAGCACTTGAGACCACGCGTGTGTGTGTGTGTGTGTGGGGGG